ACTTGTCTGTGGCTGAATTAAATCTGTTGCCATCTGTGAGGCGTACTAGCTGAGAAGCATTTAGGGAAGAGTTGTAAGTGGGGCAGAAACGCAAAGGTAAGAGGCAGTTTTATCTCCAGCTGATGATCTGCCTTTCAGATGACGGCCCCTCATTACCAACCAAACAGAATGAGGAGTTTCGACCCTTCATTCGAAGGCTTCCAGAATTCAAGTTTTGGTGAGTTAATTTTTTTTTCTATTGAGCAATAAAATATATACATCTATATAGGTCCTATTTTTACAAACACGTAGTAATTGTCTGTGTGTAGGGGATGTGGAGTAGTAACATTTTGGTATACATAAATTATGTAATGGTCATGTCAGGTGATTGGACAGCCATCACAGACATTTATTGCTTTGTGTTTGAACACTGAAAGTCCTGTTTGAGGTATTTTGGAGGAAGTCCAGCATTGTTGCCTGCTGCTCATCTTCTTGTCTACACAGTTGAAGCCCTTTCTCCTGACCAGTCTTGCTGTTATTCCTTCAAGGCTTTTGTGGAAGATACTTGGGCTATGACAGTTTTTGTGCCAGTTAGTGTTTAGTTTCTTAACAAAATGGGAATTTTGTGTGCTTTGTTTACATATGGTGTGCATTTACCTAGAAGGTCATAGCTTGGCTGGGCAGGTATGGGGGTGTGTCACAGGGCTCTCTTGGGGAGACCACTACTTCCCAATGTTCTCTTGGGTTGGCACAGTCACCACAGTCGCCATGAGTTAGATGAGGCTGGTTCCAGAAGAAAGGTGCTAACAGCTATTTTCCAGGCCCTGTGCTTCCTAGAGGCACTGCTTTGGTTCAAGGCCACCATGCACTTCCACAAAGCAGACATCCTGGAAGTGGTGGGAGACTAGAGAGACAGTGATGGGACACAGAGTAGGTGTAGTGTAGCTCCTTTCATGACCTTCTGACAGAGGTCACAGCTGTGGTCTCCTGGCCTGTCTTTTTGACCCTGAGGCACAAAAGAGCCAAAAGTCTTTGTTGGCTCAATAAATTGAATGAGCAGACTGGGCCCTTTGAGTGTTTTAACTCTGTAGCTCTGGTGCTGGGCATGGAGCATGATCGGGGAGAGGAAGTAGAAGGTGGGCAAAAGGCCCCCGTAGAACCTGGACTTTATTCTGTAGGAAAAGAAGTGGTGGTGGGGTTTCAGGAGCTCAGAACCTGACTAGAGGTGTGGTAGCGGCGGTGGGCTGTGTGCCAGCATGGAGGGCCCTTCATTGTACTCAGGCTTCCAGTATCAGGCCCAGGCTGAGGTTATTGCTCAAGATGGCAGTTCCAGGAAGCAAACATGAGCTGCATTTGCCTTTAGCTGGGCTGTTTTACACTTTATATGAACTTTCAGAAGGCTGAGAGGCCTGATTGTACTTGAGTATACTGCACACGGACTATGACCTGACACAACTCTGCTCTGATGTTCTCTCTTTGGTGGGCACCTCTGTGCATGCAAAGGGGGGGTGGCTGTAGAGGCCAGAGGGGGTGGACAGGTGCCTGTTGCTGCCTGCAGAACACACTAATTTTTCTCTTTGCTTTAAGGCATGCAGCTACAAAAGGCATTCTTGTGGCTATGGTCTGTACCTTCTTTGAGGCGTTCAATGTCCCCGTGTTCTGGCCGATCCTGGTGATGTACTTCGTCATGCTTTTCTGTATCACAATGAAGAGGCAAATAAAGGTAAAGAGAGCGGCGCTGCTGTGCACGGCGGCAGCTAGCAGCCCTGGGAAAGCAGGCTTGGGTTTCAGTGTTGGGCCTGGCCTCCTGTGTGATGACTGGCCAAGGCCATGAGCTCCAGACTGCAAGTCCTCCGTGGGAACAGGTGGGCCTTTAGTGGAGGCTCTGGAAGCTGAGGAGGCCCTGCGTACAGTCAGCTTGGCCTGCAGTGTCACAGTGGCTCCTTTTAGCTCAGAGCTCACCGTCTGCAAGCACTAGGGTGCGCCTCAGACTGTTGATGCGGCTGCGCAGCTTCCCAAGCATTGGGCTTTTACAGGCCTCTAGTGTTGGAGGTATGGAGCACACTGTTGGCTTCCTGATTTCAGTCGTAATGGGCAGGAGTAGTCGTGGGGTGCTTTCAGCTATTCAGGTCTTGGGAAAAGAGTTCAGCAGGAAATTGTTTTGAAGTAACTCAAGTTTGTTTGTGTGTTTGTTTTCCCAGCACATGATTAAATACCGGTACATACCATTCACACACGGAAAGAGGAGATACAAAGGGAAGGAGGACGTGGGCAAGACATTTGCTAGTTAGAAGCTGGACTGAATCTGTCACACGTATTCAAGAACGGTTTTGAGCCATGTAACAATGCCTTTTTCTTCACATAAAGTAGTTGATTATGAGGAAGTTGAATTTTCATTTTAAGAAGAGCCTCAATGATTTGTATCTGAAATATCAGGTTCTTGAAGAAACTGGCATTTAAACCAAATTGCATTGATTTCTTTTTCAGTCTTCATGTGTTTGAAATGGACAGAATTGTAGTAAACCATAGGTGTGGGAGTCCAGGCCGGTGGCAGCCCAAGAGAGCGGGAGGGAGGATGGGAGTGCGGCCTCAGGAGCTGCCTTCCTGACCACGCTGAGGCCACTCCTCTGTGCCAGAGGGACAAGCCAGCCCACTTCTGGTGTGACAAAGAATGTAATACTTTGAGGGTGATTTTTCACATAGCTCTGTGGGGTTCTCATGCCAGTTTCGGAATCTCATCTTACTAGAGATGTTTTTCAAGTTGGCCTCTATCATAATGACTCAAAACGTTGTTCTTAACTACCATGATTGCTTTTGAGGGCCTGGAATTATAAATATATATTATATTTTAATTGTTTGAGACTATTTTGACGCTTTACTTTGATACATAACATATTTTGCTTTTGATTAATTTAAACTTGTTCTCATGCAACAACCTCTTTAAGGAAACAACTGGCCAGAGCACACCAGGTTTGGGATTTATCGCATGGCCTTTTACTTTCTATGGGGAAAACAGAACCCACCATGTGTCAAACTTTTTGATGTGATAAAAATAATACTCTTTAAACATTTTACTAAGTGACTTTTAAATCCCAACTTTATTAAAGTGTCCCTTGCTTGTGTAATCTTTGTCCACACCACAAGTCTCGTCACTAGAGCACGGCCTGCTTTCCACAGCTGTAGTTGGGGGAGCCATTGGGCCATCCAGCACAGGACAGAGCAAACATGCAGGAACAGGAGGGACAGGCTGTCCAGCACAAGCAGGCTTTCAATCCCAGGTGACGCACTCAGAACCCTGCTCAGTTTTGTTTCTGAGCCATTCGACAACTTTAGGTCAGTCAGTCACCTGGCTTGTAGACACCACACTCAGGGCACTCAACCCATCATTTTCTTTTCTTTTCTTTTTCTTTTTTTTTTTTTTTTTTTGTTTAGGATTTTCAACACAGGGTCTCTCTGTGTAGCCTTGGCTGTCCTGGATTCACTTTGTAGACCAGGCTGGCCTCAAACTCACTGCAGCCTGCCTGCCTCTGATTCCATGAGTGCTGGGATTACAGGCGTGCGCCACCACACCCAGCTGAGCTCATTTTCTAATGATGTTCAAAATAAGTTTTTTGTTTTGTTTTTGAAACCATGTGAGCACATGGGATCCAAACTCTGGATCTTTCTGTTTACATTTTCCATGTTGTTTTCCTCATCGCTGACTAGGCTCAAAGTGTAATGGAAAGGAAACTGGCCAGAGCAGTGTGAGTTACAAGCGTGGGGTACTGCGGACAACTGCAGTTATGTTCCAGGTTCCCACAGAGGCACTGTCTTTGCACAGGGTCCCTGAAGCTGTCTTGTGTCAGTCTTGGCCCCTGCCTTGTCTGGAGGGATGTTCCCTGCCTGCTCTTGGTAAGGGGCCCTTCACAAGGAGCACTGACATCAGACAGCATTCGTGGTGGCTGGGCTTTACCTGCTCACTACCTGTAGACCAGAGGTCCTATCAAGTTGTCATCACACTCTTATGAAATCTAGGTCTAGGGCTCCTGTTTTGTGGTTTTTTTTTGTGTTCGAGACAGGGTTTATGTAGCCTTGACTGTCTTGGAACTTGCTCGACCAGACTGGCTTCAACTCAGATCTGTCTGCCTCTGCCTCCTGAGTGCTGGGACTAAAGGTGTGTGCCACCACTGCCCAGCTGAAGCTTCTGTTCTTAATGGGCCTTTTCTGTGGAATTAGTCTCTTAAAGATGTGCCACATTGTCTTCTGAGATGAATTAATTTTAAAAGCTTGGAAATGTCAAATGGAGGCAAGAAGCCAGCTAGGGACAAGCCAAGAGGGGCCTGGACACAGAGTGACACTGCGTAAGCAGGCCACGTGTTTATCTGGGCCTCTAAGCAGATACAACTCACCTAATTCCTCAGAGAACTGGTATCTGAGGCCACATGGAAACTGGTTTGCAGGAGAAAACTCAGGCAAGCCAACTCTGCAGGTCTACTGAGATGTTCAGCAGTAAAAGGCCAGCCAGCTCTGTGGGTCTGCTGAGATGTTTGGCAGTGAAGTTCTTGCTTGCTGCCCAACCCAACCAGAATTTGCTCCTTGAAAGACCTGATAGGAAGAACTGACTACTGCAAGTTGTTCTCTGATCTCCATATACATCCAGAGAGGCATGTGTGCACCCTCATAGTTAAACAAAACAACAAAAACCTGCAACTCAGGAGACCCCTCCCACCCTTTCAGGCCAAGACGAAGACCTTCATCTTCTTAAGGGATTGGCGGCATGCGTTAAGCTGTTGCGAGTGTTCAGGACAGGTGCTGACCCCGGTGAGGGCGGAGGCCAGGGTGGCCGCCTCTCACAGCCCGAGGGTAGCCTCTCGTTTACAGACCGGAGGGAAACACCCTGAAGGTCTGAAGCGGTTGTCAGCGAGGGGAGACCTGCTACCTCCAGGGATTGGAGAAGTCCTAAATAAGGTGCAGCAGACTCCCACCCACGTGGAGTTTTCCCACTTCCCCTGACACCTTTCTTCCCAGGTAATTGTAGTAGCTTCAATGACAACAGTGTGAGGATTTTATATTTCTGCGCAACTACACTTCTGAGGACACAGCTCCATGAACTTCCATCCACTTCCTGGAGCTGTCTGGTAACAATCTGGTCCTGGTCAGCGGTAGTGCCTCAGGTAGACCAGCCTCTGGGGTGGGAGCTTCTCCCTGCACAGGGGACACTCCGTCTGTGGAATGGGATGGGTGTGTCACACTGGCTGTGCACTGAGGCTGGCCCTGACCCCCACTGCTCTACATAGGTGCACAGCTGTAAGTCAGCCAGAGAACAGCCTCTCCTGGGCTGTGCCTTCCCAGCAACCCTGAGCCAAGTGCTGTGGAGGGGAGGGCGTCAGACCCCACCAGGAAAGGGGTGTATGCTTTTTAGTTCCTCCCTTGTAGAACTTCCAGTAGGTTTAACTCTAGATGAACCCTGGCGCTTCCCCTCAAGAGACAGGACTTGCCCTGCCACCTACGAGAAAGGAGGACACATCCCGCACTTCCACACGCTGGTATGCAGCGTCCACTCTGCCGACGTGGCAGTGCAAATGCTGTGTTTCTGTACTGCAGCCCAAGACACCCAACTTCTTAACAGCGAGGCACAGCTGCAAAGTTCCCTCTCACTTGTAGCCTTTGTAGCCTAGGCTTTCGGCCAGGGTAGTAACTCAGGCTACTTAAATGAAGCACTGTGCCCTGGGCACCTGTCCTGCTGGAAATGGCTCAGTGGCACACAGGGACAACTTGGTGTGTGCACATGAACTAGCACCCTATGTGTGAAGCAAGTCACGCCTATGTGTAAGTATGGCCCGATGTGTGCACCCATGTGCCATTTACCTACACATCAAAGGGGAAGACTGGAGACTTCAACCCCAGGGATGGTTCATACCCCACAGAGCTTTTAACAAGATGCCCACCCCTCCACCCCCACAGGAAAGAGGTTTAGGACGTGGGGTGGGTAGCAAAACTGTCAAGGGTCACAGGACCAGGAACATGTGTACCTTGGTGTTGCACCACTCAGTAATGCACTCCCAGCAGAAGAGATGGCCACAAGGCGTCGCTGTGGAGTGTCTCCGCTCCTCCAAGCACAGGGTACAGAGTGGGGCTCTGCAAACAGCTCTGTCTTCCAGGGAACTCCTGTGCGGGTGAGGACAGTCAGGTGAGTCCACCCTTCACAGTCTTGGGACATGCTGGAGTACCTCATGCCCCCTGCACACCTGCGGTGGGACAGGTTGCGATGCAGCCTCCACTCCTTCCTGGCTCGCTGCTTCTGCCTGAAGCTGTACAGCTGCAGCCCCACGGACAGCGCCAGATGCAACAGGGAGATAAGTCCCAGCAGTCGGTAGCTTGTGCGTGCCCTCAGGTCCGCTCCAGGAAGGCGGTGAGTACGGAGCTGTTAAGACAAGTGACCACCCCAGGCGGCAGGGTCCCTTAGGACCTGGCCTCTTGTCTGCTGGAGGCCTCCCCTTGGCCCTAGGCATGTCCAGAAGACAAGCACTTGAGAGGGAGGTGGGTTCAAGTAGTGAGGGAGAACCTGGTTATAGGTTGATCTTTAGGCATTAGCAGCATAGACAAGAACTAAACCAGGAGGCTAGATGGGCCAAGAGAATGGGTAAGGATCCTGGAGTTATCTGGAGATCACTTCAGAGGAAGAGAAGGAGCCTGAGGAAGGGTAGGGTGGGGAACCTGGACAGGTAGGTGCTGTCCTGGCCTTTGGTGTAGCTAGTGTATCTCCGTCCACATCACAGCAGAACTGTGCTGTCTTCCCTTCCATCCCTTCCTGCTGGCAGGGAAATGAGGACATCAGGTCACACTATGCCTTGGGCTGGAGAACAGAATAGCAGCCATTAGGAAGGGAGACATAGCTAAACCAAAGGACTGCTGGGATGGACTCTGCCTGATAACCCTTCATCTGGCAGTACTGAGGCTAAGACCTGAAACCAGGCTATGGTTCTGTCTCTGACAGGACATGGGGGAGGGGCAGATTGGCTGTAGGGAGAGGTGGCATTTGGTTTCCCCTGACGGGAACTTTGAGCAGTTCTGAACGGTGGCAGGCATGGAGGTGATAGCTGAGGGGAGGTTTTTTGGGTGACAGGATATAAGCGCATTGGTAGGAGGCCAGGGGTGCTTCCAGTGAGGGGGTGCTGCCAGAACTAACACCAGGTGAGTGCGGCTGGTACAGCCAGCAGTGTGCTGAGGGACAGGCTCGCTCTTTCTAACTGCCTTTCTGTTAGGGCTGTAGGGACAAGTGGGAAAGGCAGGCGCTGCATTTGACACCCTCTGGACTAGGTGCTCACCACCCAGAAAAGTGAGGTGACTGGCCACAAGCCAATAGTGAGGAAGCTGCTCCGAGGGCCAGAGCGAAGTCTGCTCAGTGGTGCCGGAGTCTGCCATCGCACACACGCTGTTGTACGGAAGAAAGGCTTACTCGTTCCCAGAGTTTGTGCACACTGGACTTCCCTGGGCCTTTTAGGAAAAGGACAACTGAACAAGCCCTGCCCTTTCCCAAGCACTTTCTACTCCCACTTGGAAACAGAATACTTGGCTGTGGTCATGTCCTTAGCATAGGCCCCCAAAAAGAGGCTGCCCAGGGAGTCCCAGCCTGTCCAGCAGTTCCGGCATTGCTACTTACGTACGTGATCCCCACTAGTCTCTTGGCCAGGTGGTAGAAGGCACCGTGAATATAAAACCAGGCAACATGGAGCCGATGGAGGCAGGCAAAGCCCTGTCTAAGGATGAAGACGGCCCGCTGTAGTGTCCTCCTCTGCTGCTCAGTCAGGGTGTTTGTGTGGAGGCGCACCCAGCGCCTCATCCCCGATCGGCTGCGTCCTCCAGGTGGTAGACTTCCCTGTGAAGCCCGTGTGCCGTCGCCATCAGCTTGCAGCTCCTGCTCTAGGGGCAGCAGTGCCTTGTCCAGCAGGTAGGGCAGGACAGCATGTAGTGCAACCAGCACGCCACGGCGCAGTCTGGAGGGCACACGCTGCTGGGATGGGTCCACCTGGAGGATGCCAACATACTCCTCTCCCAGTGTCTGGTAGCCTGAGGAGTAACGCAGTGTTGGGGGTCCGCTGCAAGGACAGCACCTAGGCCAGTTTGTAGGCCGGATTGTATCCCCCAGCCTTACCAGTCACCCCTGAACCTGCCCTGCTGGGCTGTCAGCCGGAAGACCTAGCCAACACAACTCCTAAATGCACTGTGACCCTGCTGAAGTTTCATGCCAGGACTCAGACTGCCACTCTGGGACAGGCCCTCGATGCCCCCGTTGGTTCCTGTTCCCTTCAGTCTGAAGTTGCTGTCGGTTTCCCAGTCCCTCCGCTGTTGAGCCCAGGGATGGGATCCAACCTTGTGGCTTTCTACCTTCCAGATTATGGCTCAGTCCTAAGTATCCAGCACATAGGTCAGCTGCCTACCTGACATTGTCACATGGAGTCAGATAATGCCCCTCAAGCCTACCCCGATGAAAGCTAGCTTCTAGTCCGCCCTGCAGAAGACAACACCAGACCTCTCGTTCTGAGGCCAAACCTGGTGCACCTTGAACCACCACTTCCATGCGTCTCACCAGGGCCCTGCTTGTAGGCCGTCGCAACCTCTGTCCCTAGCGTGTCTGGTCACGGCCAGCAGGTAGCGGCTACCGCTGTCTGTACCTTGCAGTGCTTTACACCCCATACACAGGATCCCATCCTGCTGAGAGGCCTCTAGAAAGGATCTGAGCAGTACCTCCTGTCTGGCCAGTATCTTCCTTCCCTGAGACTAATGCAGGAGATTGCCTGGAGCTGCTCAGTTTGGCTGGCTGCCTTGACCATCCCCTCTTGGCTTGGGTGGTTGTGGGCCCCTCAGTGCCCAGGACTTGCCAAATCTTGCTACCTGCAATTGTGGTGAGGCCAAAGTAGGCTATGTCTGATAGCAGTTCGATCTCTTTCCTCCATTCCAGCCATTTCTTTGCACCTGAGAGGAGAAAAATATTACTTCTGGGGAGGTAAACTGAAGTTCTCTCCCTCCACCCCAGGGGGCAGGTCGAGCCCCTCCTCTTCCAGGGCGATCCGCAACTACTACTCTCTCCCTTAGTCTCCTCTGCTGTCCTGGATGACCTCAATGACGCCGAGACGAAGACCACTTCCTAAGAACCGCTCAACTGTACCCGTCTTGAGCCAGGAGCTGTCCTAGGAGCCTAGGCGGCACCAGGAAAGTCTAGGTAGTGTTAGGGACACAAGCCAAAGAAAACCTGTTTGCTATTAAATCTCGGCCTCCCAAATCCCTGCCCAAATCTCTGAGGTCCTTCTGGAAACCTCCACGTGTCTACTTGAAAGAGTAACCGCGTTAGGTCCAACCTGTGAGGAGGAATCAATGGGCAAATGTTTGAGAAACACGGAACAGGCATTGCCTGGCGCACGCAGAGACCTGCAAAGTGTTCGGCAGTGTGTCCGTGTTTTGACCCTCGCTTTCCTAACGAGCTTCCGAGCTGCCGCCTGACTGGGGTGCCCCGGGATGCTCACCCGCTAGGCTGTGCAGCGCTGCACCCGCCGCGCTCCGCAGGCCTCCCAGGTAGTACTCGTCCTTCTGCGCCGCCCGGATCACTTCAGGCGCACCTGCCAGCGCCATGGCCTGGACGGGCGCTCGCACTGCGCCGGCGCGCCCCGTGGGCGGGGCCTGTGACGCTCGACGTGCCTCGGCCGTGGGGCGCGGGCTGCGAACCGCACGCGGATGAAGGCGGGGCATAGGAGTGACATCCTGAGAGGCGGGCTGTGTGGAGGCGGGGATGGGGGCGGGAGGACGCTGGAGGGGTCGGGTCGGTGGCTAAGGCGGAGCCAGGCAGAGTAGGGGTGTGCGGCCTGGCTTGGGGGCGGAGCCACGGAGGTACAGGTCTCTGGGATGCAGGAGACCTTTTAGGATAGCCATCTCACCTGACTGCTGAAACCCCCGGTACCTTTTGGAATTCGTCCCTCTGCCCATGCCCTGGTTTTCTCAGCTTGGGTTGGGCAACCCTAGATACTAGGTTTGACCGCCGCCAGGAGGCAGTAACGGCTCAAGCAGAGGCACGGGTGTCTGGCCAAAACAAATACATCAGCTTGAAATGCAGATTTCTTGAAGGCCCAAGGCTGCTTGTGTCCCCAGAAGACTTTCCCTTCAAACTTAGAAGCTCAATTCTAGCATAACCATGAGGTATGGCCTGCTCAGAGTGTCCCCTCATGGACTTCTGGGAAGGGACTGCATTTTCTGGATTCTCTTCTCTCAGCCGTGGGGAGCAAGAACAGAAGAAACAATATCCTAGTATCTGTTGTTCCCAGGGAGACGCCTAAGTGTTTCCATGGGCTCAAACGCTAGCCACAGACTTCGCCTCAGCTTGACTGGTGCTCTGACCCTCAGCTCTGTCCTTTGCAGGCTGGGGGTAAGGCGCTCCTCTTGAGGGTTCTTCCTAAGGGACAAAACCAGGATGGCCAGCAGGTGGGGCCATGAGCCCATCTTTTCTGCTCACTTGGGCAGCTATTACCCCAAAGAAATTCTGCACAGATAAACTTCAGTCAGAAGAGAAAGTGGAAGAGAAGGATGAGTAGTGACATCATCGTAAATCAGTTCTTTGGGTTCCCAGATGACCATATGGCCTGGAGTCTCTCTTTGCTCCAGTTTCAGGGGTCCAGGACACTGAGGAGGAGCTAGAGTGAGAGAGAGTTCTTGCTGGGGGAAGGGGCCCATGGCCCTTGCCATCTCACTTTGACACTCCTTACCTAAAGAGGGCCCTGGGCCTGAGCCTTGTGAACAACTCCTTGTAAACCCTTCCCTCTGCTCCAGGGTCGGAGGACAGGAAGGCCAGCCTCCTGGGGATTTCGGGGACAGCACCAGAGAGTGAGTCAGAGTGGTTGGCAGGTCTAGTCCTTCCCTTCTCTCTCCCATATCCACCTCTGGGCTGCTTGAGGGCCACCCCGGGCTGTGAGCCAAGTATCCTTCCCTGTTATGAACTGTAGTGAAGTTCCCTGGGGACACTCTCTTTGACTGCATCCCTTGGGCCTCACTAGCCCTGTGCTGTCCACAAGGACAAGGTGTGTCCTGCACACTCCCTCACTTGGTGGGCCTCAGCTTTCTGGCCTGTAGACCAGGGATGGCGAGGAGAATTAACTGGTGTTTGCTGAGAGCCCATCATGCTGGCACTGAGCACTTGGGTGATCTGGGCCCACACAGAGGTGTCTGTTGGTGCTAGACCTGGGACAGGGTGAAATTCTGCATCTTGGACACAGGAGCTTCGGGAGCAAAGGTCAGCCTTCCTAAAGCAGTGTTCACAGTTTGTCCCTCAACAATGGAGTCTATATTTTTCATACACTGGGTATTTTGTTGTCCTGCTTGATGTCCTTTGCCTGGAATGCTAGCTCTGGCCACTTTGTTTTCTAATGTTATTAAATTAAATTGATTTATTGTGTGTTTGTGTCGTGTGCATTAGTGGTGTGTGTGTGTTCTGGCATATGGAGGCATTATCCTGGATTGCTTTTACACCTTCGCTGGAGCAGGGTCTTTGAGTCAAACCCACAACTTGCCCCTATGGCTGTCTTGCTTGCTGTCCTGCTCTGGGATCCCAGCGTCTGCCTTCCAAGGTGGAGCTTACAGGCGGCCCACCTACTCAGATGCTTATGTGGGCTCTGGGGACCCCAACTCTGGTATTGTATCCAGAGTTCTATCTCCAGCCTATTGGATAGTTTTTACTATCGTTCTGTTGGTAGGGAGGCCAGGGATAGAGTAGGCCGGGACTGGGGGGAGGGGTTCAGGGAACTGGGAAGGGGGCCTTTTCAGCAGGTGGCCCTATTGCATCTTCTCCGTGCTCCCCCCACCCCCCGCCCAGGTTTTTCCTCTCACACCACCTAGCAGACTGATAGTGTGACTCAGCATACTTAGGCTTGCCTTGGCCTGAGTCTGTGTGATCCCTCGTAAACTCTTCCCTCTGCCCCTAGGAGGCATTCACTGTTTGGGGGGTTGCTGTATGCAGCAGGCCTGGGATAGGCCTACGCAGCTGCCGCTCAGGAAGACGTGTGGAAGCAGGGAACAAGGGAAGGTGTGCGAAGTCTGTTCTCTGCCTGATTTAGCCCTGGGGTGCACTGTGGAGCCTCAGGCAGGAGTGTTCTCAGGGTGGTCCTCCCCTGGACTTCCAGAGCCCCTGCCCTCGCTGGGAACCAGAGGGGGACAAGCCAATCTCTCTGCAGGAGTGGTGAAGGAAGGCTGCCTAAGTCTGATGGATCTGGGAGGCCTGCCCCGCCACCGGGGGCAGGGGGCAGGGTGAGGGCTCCGGCTCCTTACGTTTTCCATTGCACGCTTTGCCTATACAGGGGCAGAGGAACTGGGAACCCCTCCAAGAGTAGCTCCTGTATAGGGACCTGACTGTTAGGGAGGGGCCTGCTCTAGGCAGGAGGCCCCTCCACAGGCACCACAAACCTGCAAAACAGGTTCCTCCGCCCAGGGGGGGAACAGGCTGGAAGCTCGGCTGGTTGCTGCAGATTGGCGCCCTGGAGGTACCATGGGCACCAAGGAAGGGTGGGCGTTTTGGGAGGAAATCTGAGGCTCCAGAACCAAGCCTGGGAGGCCCTGGCTGGTCAGCAGAGGTGTCTGGGAGCCTCCCTTACTTCCTGTGTAGGCTTGCCAGTGAGGGTAGCACTGGGGCTGGAAAGCTAAGCCCTTCCTGGACGCTGTGTACCCTGGGAAGGGACTCTGGGGACACAGGCAGGTGGCTGGGATTCTGCCCTTAGCCAGGACCACAGTAGGAAGGCATGTTCTCTGCTGGCTCCAGGGACAAAATAAATGGGGTTCCCAGAGCTGAGCCAGTGTGGGGCTCTGGGGCTTTGTCCCAGCTCAGAACTTGGAGCTGGGACTGAAATAGAACCCTGGGGCTGGGGAGGAAGGAGCTTGGTCCTGGTGGCATTAGCTCGGGTTAGAGGGTGGCCCAGCACTGAGTCCAGGCCGTGTGCTCCCACTCGTGTGCATCTCCTCATCTGCCGATGGAATGGGTGGTCTAGCACTGGACACCAAGCCTCTACCGGTGGAGTGAGGGCCTTCACGCTATGGCCATTATCCTGAACTCTTCTGGATCATAACGGGCTGACACAAAGGTCCCCAGGGAGTGGAGATCTGGAAAGACTTCCCAGAAGAGGAAGGGCCTCTGTCTATGAGGAAAATGTGGCCACACAGGTACTTGCACACTAGGGTTGATGAACAAATTGTAAGTGAGCAGACGTACAAGCTGGCTAGCCCCCTCTTGTGGGATGGAAAGCAGGAGGGCTGGTCACTCTAAGAGAGTATAGGATGCGGTACCCTAAAGAGTAATCACTGGCCATGAGGACATGAGACAGGGCAAGTGAGGCCTGAGGGAACCTAGGGTGGGAGCAGAATGGGCCTGGAAGATCAGGTCCTGTTGGGCTCTTCATGGACAGGGCTAAGGACAGTGTAACTCGCTGTTGGGGGGCTGGGGGCCAGAGACTCTTGTGAAGCTCCATTGCCCTGAAGCAGCAGCCTCCTAGTGTAGTGAGTAAATCTGAAGCAGCAGGCATTGAGGAGAGTGGGTGGGGCAGGCACCTGCATGTCAGATGTGGCTTCAGCCTCAGCTCCATCATCTCCCAAACAGGAGAATGGAGGTTCTACCACCTGTATGGTAGGACAAGCCAGGAGAGCAAGCATGCATCCCCTCCTGCCTCCGGGTCTTCTAGGAGATAGCGGTTGGGTAGCAGCAGCCTTAACTGCAGGTAGGGATCTGCCAGCCTTTGTCATCTTGGGTTCTGTGAGGCAAGGGATTCAGGATATCTTTGTGTCCACCCCTGCGCCAAGCCAGGACCTGTCCAAGTGCTTGGCACATGCAGAGGGCAGCAAGTAAAGAGCTGCCAGATGTCAGGGTGGAGGTTTGCAGGTGGGTGAGGGGCAAGAACTACAGTTTCTGATGGACATCCAGAGAGATGCTGTAGAAGGCGCTCTTGACCTTAGATACAAGAGTCAAGAATAGCCAAGGCTGGGGCTGGAGAGATGGCTCAGAGGTTAAGGGCCCTGTCTGCTCTTCCAGAGATCCTGAGTTCAATTCCCAGCAACCACATGGTGGCTCATAACCATCTACAGTGAGATCTGGTGCCCCCTTCTGGCACATATGCAGGCAAAACATTGTATTCATAATAAATACATCTCTTTTCAGGACAAAAAAAAAAAAAAAAAAAAAAGAATAGCCAGGGCTGGTAAGCAGGTACTGTCTGTAGGTTGTAATGGCCTAGACGGAGCTCCTTCCAGACAGATATATGACTCTAGTTTGGACCCACGGAATGTAGTTGAGGTTAGTCCCAGGGATTCCACTGAGAGCAGAGTGGCTTGGACCCAGTGCAGGCAGAAGCAGTCTCCATGGCTCTGTTAGAGGTTAGGCTCATGGGCACAGACTTAATAATGTGAGTTGTGTGTGTCTCAGATGGGCACAGTGGCTCTGGAACTTTTATGTCCATGGTGTGCTGGAAAGAGAGGGCTTTTGAGACCGTAGTTTCAACACCAGGTTTCTGACAGTGCTTCTTGTCACCCTGGTTCCTGGAACAGTTCTGTATGGTACTTGGCCTTGTCAACCCCTGCTCTTCTATGCTAGAGCCTTCAGGAGACCCTCAGCTATACTGAGAATCTGGC